TACAGAGACAGGGGAACCCATCAGAATAGCACAGGATGAGGTGATGGAGGCTGTGCAACATATTGGCGATGGAGAAAATGGACGATGGGACTGATTGAAGAGCATCTGAGTGGTAGAATCTGTCAGTGAACGTTGGAATGTGGGTTGAAGAGGGAAGGACGTATAAAGATGGCTCCCAGTTATCTTGCTTGAGCAGCTAGGTAGATGGAGGTGCCATTTACCATATGGGAAGAGTGGAGACAGCACATATTTGGGGCTGGGAGGGGAACCAAGAGTTCAGCTGTAGACATGTTAAGTTTGAGATGCCCAGGCTATAACAGCATCAGCATCCCTTCCCTCCTGTTTAGCAATAGAAGCCCACTGCCTATCCCCGCCCCCCGCCCCCCCCCGCCCCAGCCAGTGTTTCTGGTTGGGCTATCACGTACACGGCCTCACTTCCCCAAGCATGCCGAAGGGCATGACTCAGGCTGGCCAATCAGAGCACTCACCCCTCTGGACACAAAGGTTGGTCCTTGGGTGAGCACACATGGGGGACACTGAAGGAGAGAGGATTGCACTCTTCTCTGAGTTTGTGAGCTGTAAGAAAATGTAGGGCTGGCACTGTCAGTGGCATCATTCAGTCAGAGAATGAGACCAACACAGAGGAAAGACAGATCAGGAAACGGAGAGAGACAGCTCTGGTAACATCATTTGAACCTCTGGGTCCATCCATGCCTGAAGGTAGATCCTCTCTTTGATCCAATACATGACCTCATAAAATCTTTTTTCCCCCAGAAGCTAGTTTGAATACTTTTGCAGGTGACTGAAAGACACAATCCAGTAAGTCTAACACAGCATCCAAGAGATGTCAGGTGGGGCTTCTGGAGCAAAGACAGAGGCAGAAATGGGGGAAGCCAGGTTCTGAGGAGGGACAGACAAAGGAGACAGTGGCTAGCGAAGGACGCGGAATCAAGGGACACGTGGCAGAGACTCCCAAATGGCTCCAACTGACTTCGCTTTTGCTTTCTTTCTCGAGTTTTTACCTTCCAGGTAGGTGCAACCATGTGGCTAAGTCTGGTTAAAGGGATGTGAGTGAAAGTACTGTGTGGGCTTTTCCATTTCCCACTGGATGGGCAAACCTGGTGGTGAGAACCTTGGGAGGTCTCGTGGACTCTGTAGCCTTGGACACCAGTGGACACTGCCTGATGCCCCATCTAAAACCGAGGCCCTCCTTCCGCCAACTGCCAGGAGCACTGTCCACTCACAGCTCAGGTGAATCTTTCCCCAGAAACTGCTTTGCCCAAAGTTATGCCTCCTCCCTGGGGGGTATCAAAAGGGGGCCCGTATCCAATGACTTGTGGGGTAACAAGCCTAGTTCCTTGCTTTAATTGAGACAACTATGAAGCCCACCCCAGCTCCAGAGCTCCTCTGGGATTGGCTGAGTCCTCTGTTGTGACTGCATCACAGCTCAGCTCTGCCCGTGGCCCCGTTTTACCTCCATCACTCCCCCTGCCATCGGGGTTCACTCCCCGGTAGAACACCTGGCTGCAAATCTGTCTCAGAGTCTGTTTCCTGAGTAATCCAACCTCTGACAGAAGCTGTCTTAGACTGTGTGCTGGAAGCAGCATGTTGAAAGTAGTGAAGTAAAAAGATACAAGAAACCTGAGTCCTCCAAAACCACTAAACCCCCGTATCAGCCCTGAATCATCAAGGTACATGAGAGAAAAACAAACCAAAAAAAAAAAAAAAAAACCCTTCTATTTTGCGTAAGTCAGTGTAGTTTGAGGCCTTTGTTACAGTAGTCTAAACCATATTCTGATTAACATAGAATTTGATATCCAGAAGTGGAATGTTGGATGTGGCAAAATTTTAAACACGAGGCATTGTGCGGTGAGCAGATATGTCAGGTTGGAAAGCTGGTGACCCATGCTATTCAAAACAGTTTGTAACACTATCTCCTCTGATATCTTGGAAGACAGTTCACATGCCTACTGAGCCTCTAGTTCCAGAGGAAGTGGTTAGAAAAGGTGCAAGTGTTGGTGGGTAGTCTGCGCCCCACATTTATAGCAAAGGTCCTGGAAGAGAGAAAACTCAGAAGAGAGACAGCAGTTTGCAAAGCATAGATGAAAATAAACAGAGCTCTGTTCATGGAGGTTCTTCCTGCCTGTGGCCAGTAAGCTAAGTTGACTAAGAATCCAGTATCTGGAAAGGTGCTGAGAAAGTCAACTGCTTTTGCACCCCAAACTGAGGAAGTGACGTGAAGGAGCCCTGAAGGGGCAGCTTTCCCAGGAGACAAGACTGTGGCCCAAGCCTTTCCCAGTTAGCTCCAGTTAAGAACACCCTGCCCGATAATGGGAGTCAGTTCAACAGCCCAGAGCAGATTCAGGGTGCTGCCTTTCCACCCAGGCCTACTAGGTTAAGTAACCTCGTACACTATTGTAAAGTTAAGAGAGGGTAGGATGGGCAGAGTATAGAGGCTGGGAAATAAATGTGCATAAAAATGCCTTCAGGTTTAAGACCTATGTCTGCTCCAGCTTTTTTGGCTGGGTTACTTGCTTATGGAACAGATTAGAAACAAATAGACTGTAGTCATACTAAGTTTTTAAAATAGTTTTAGGGGCTTCCCTGGTGGCACAGTGGTTAAGAATCCACCTGCCAATGCAGGAGACACGGGTTCGAGTCCTGGTTAGGGAAGATCCCACATGCCACGGAGCAACTAAGCCCGTGTGCCTCAACTACTGAGCCTGCGCTCTAGAGCCTGCGAGCCACAACTACTGAGCCCGTGTGCCACAACTACTGAAGCCTGCGTGCCTAGAGCCTGTGCTCCACAACAAGAGAAGCCACCGCAATAAGAAGCCCGTGCACCGCAACCAAGAGTAGCCCCTGCTCACAGTAACTAGAGAAAGCCCGCACGCAGCAACGAAGACCCAATGCAGCCAAAAATAAAATAAACAAATTTTAAAAAATAGTTTGGGGCTTCCCTGGTGGCGCAGTGGTTGAGAGTCCGCCTGCCGATGCAGGGGACGCGGGTTTGTGCCCTGGTCCGGGAAGATCCCACATGCCGCGGAGCGGCTGGGCCCGTGAGCCATGGCCGCTGACCCTGCGCGTCCGGAGCCTGTGCTCCTCAACGGGAGAGGCCACAACAGCGAGAGGCCCGCCTACCACAAGAAAAAAAAAAAAAGAAAAAAAAAAGCCAATGTTTAATCCAAGATCATGAAGTTTTATAGTTTTCTTTCTTACATTTAGGTCTATAATCAACTTTGAGTTAATTTTTATATGTGGTGTGAAGTAGGGATCTGATTACATTCTTTTGAATAGGGAGATCTAGTTGTCCCAGGACCATTCTTGAAAAAGACTATTTTTTCACCATGTGTCAAAGTCTCCATGTCCAGAGCCTCAATTCTGTTCCATTGACTTATGTGTCTATTCTTATGCCAGTACCACGCTGTGTTGATTAATATAGTTTTGCAGTAAGTTTTGAAATAGGGTAGTGTGAGTCCTCCAACTTTCTTCTTCTTTTTCAAGACTGTCTTGGCTATGCTGGGCCCCTTGCAATTTTATATGAATCTTAGATATATTTTCAATTTCTGCAAAAAAGGCAGCTGGAATTTTAATAGGGATTTCATTGAGTCTGTAGGTCATTTGGGGGAATATTCCCATCTTAACAATATTGTGTTCTAATCCATGGACACAGGATGACTTTCCATTTATTTAGTTTCTCTTCAATTTATTTTAATTATGTTTTATAGTTTTCAATGTACAAGCCTTGTTCGATTTATTCCTATTTAAGTCTTTTCTATATGATGGTAAATTGAATTATTTTTTGTATTTCACTTTTTAATGTTATGCTAAGTTTTTGAGGGAAAGTCACTGGCAAAAGTCTACAAGGCTGGCCAGTACAACTCTAGAATTGCTCAATTCCTAAAGCAAGCTGTGAGCTCCCAAACCTGCACCGGCAGGAAACAGGCTGTGAACACTGCACCCTCACCACCCAGAAGGGTATGTTCTCCAACGCCCTTTTCAGATGTGGCCCTGGAGGACAACAGGTAGACAAAGAAGCACTGCCCAGAAAGCAGAGCCAAGAACCACAGAGAATGTTTTCGGGTATAAATACCAAAGAACATTCTCCTCTCTGAGATAGGGAACCCTTGGAATTCCTTCCCAGTGGGATCTGTTAATTGCTATGTTCCTGCTATGTGTTTTCTATTTTTCCCTCTCCAAATGGCAGATTAATTGGGGTTATCCTGTTCTGCCTTGTAGAGTATATATATGTGTATGTGCTGCTGGTTGGTAAAGGGGAGCAAATAGATAACTTGGTTTTTAGTTTATATGTCACCAGACTGACATCTGAACTTCATACAAAGATCTGACGATTGTCAGGAAGGCCTGGGCTCTGAGCTGGTTGCAGTAATGGATGAAACCTTGTGGGTTTGGGCTTGGGAAGGGGATTAGCATGTTGCATGTGTGAGAAGAGAGTGTGCGTTTATTTGGGCGGTCAAAGGTGCACAGGGTGGTAGAGATCGCCAGCTTTCCCTCAATTCTCCTCTTCTGCAATAGTGGTGGAATCTTTAAGTGGATACATTGCTGCCCAACGAAAGACCATATTTCTTAAGTTCCTTCACAACTAGGTGTGTTTTTTGACCAAGTCTGAGGGCAATACCTTGCGATTGGACATGTATGCAACTTCCAGGCCGTGTCCCTCAAAGGAGGTAGGCTTATCTCCGCCTTCTCTTTTCCCCTTTCCTTCTGGCTGGGAGGTTGAAGTGCTGGCAAGGGCTGGGGCATCCATCTTGGAGAGAAGCTGCAAGTTAAGGATGGCAGAGCAACAGATTGGAGAAATTACCATATCACCCCTACACTGCCTTCCTAGGCTTTTCATGTGAGAGTCAGCTTCTTTCTTTGATATGGTCTTTGGGGATTTCTCTGTTACAGCAGCCTAACGTTATCCTAACTAATACAGAAAGTTTATCTGTTTTTTCCTTTTTATTTCCGGCCGCGCCGCATGACTTGCGGGATCTCAGTTCCCCGACCAGGGTTTGAACCCGGGCCACGGCAGTGAAAGGGCCGGATCCTAACCACTGGACCATCAGGGAATTCCCAGTTTATTTGTTTTTAAGATAGGAGAGACTAGAGCATGTTGTGTGCTCGTGGAAATAACCCATTAAGGAGGGAGAGATCGATGAGGAAGCAGAGTGGGGAGACAGCCAAAGGAAAAAAGCCCTTAAGAAGATGAGAAGGAATGGGATTCAGGGAACAAGAGATGGAATTTTTCTTTCACTGAAGAAACTGGGACGCTTCTTCCATTGTAATGAGGCAGACACGGGGATATCTGTGAATTTAGTGGTGGGAAGATGAGGGAGGTTCAATATAATTGCAAGAGAGTAAAGCCATGATAACCCATGGAATCTTGATTTCACTGGACTCCTCCACACATCCTTTGTTCCCTCACGCACTCATCGTTGATCCACTCGTGCTATATATATATTTTTTTTATAAATAAATTAATTTATTTATTTTTAGCTGTTTTGGGTCTTCGTTTCTGTGCGAGGGCTTTCTCTAGTTGCGGCGAGCGGGGGCCACTCTTCATCGCGGTGCGCGGGCCTCTCACTATCGCGGCCTCTCTTGTTTCGGAGCACAGGCTCCAGACGCGCAGGCTCAGTAGTTGTGGCTCACGGGCCTAGTTGCTGTGGGATCTTCCCAGACTAGGGCTCGAACCCATGTCCCCTGCATTGGCAGGCGGATTCTCAACCACTGCGCCACCAGGGAAGCCCTTGTGCTATATTTTTAATTCGTTATTTGTAATGATTAAATAGGCTCCTGCAGAACCACCACCCAAACCAAAGCCTTGACAATGACCCACAACTTTCCATACGATTCCTCCTCGCCATCCCAGCCCCCTACCTCCCCCGACCCACGGTAACTATCACCCTGAAGTCTGTGTACCACATTCCCTTGATATCCTTTTTATATAGTTTTATTGCATCTACATATATTTCCAATATTTTATATTAATTGTTTTTAACCTCATTAAAAGGGTATTGTTCTCCATGCAATCTTTGGGGACTTACCTTTTTTACCTAATTGTATGTGGCTAAGATCTATTCACATTGTTTTACTTTGCTGTGGCTCATTTATTTAACCTGCTTTGTGATAGTCCATTGTGTGAACATCCCACGGTTTATTCATCCACAAACCATGGATCCTAAGCTGGGAGAGGAGAGAAGTGAAGGCAGGAGGGGGCTGATGGATAGAGAGAAAGTGACGGAATCAGTGGACCGGAGAGTTCTATGAGGCCAGAGAGCTGTGGCAGGGCCACCTGGGCCAGGAAGCAGAAAGCCTTGGAGGCAATGGATGGATGGATGGATAGTGGAAGGTGAGAAGTTCTGATTTCAGAAGTAAGGCTTTGGATGGCCATAAGGTCTTCAGGACTAAATGTGGCAATGGATAGCTAAGGCGGGAATTATTGGGGATGTAGGTGATGGAAGCAAGAGGTCAGAGTGTGGATACAGGTCATTCTATTTGTCTAGGATAGTGGCAGGAGGGGGTACGGGAGAAGATGAGGTGGCTGGAACGTGGGTCTTCAGTGGGGGAGGGAGCAAGCCTGGGAGGCTGGGAGATGACAGGGCCGAGGAGGGAGGATGGCATAGCTGGAAGCAGCAGTGTCAATGGCTCAGGGCTTTACGAGAGGATGGGAGTAATGGGCTGGAAATGACCATGAGGAATAATACGGACAAGCTCCATCTTTTCACCCTGAGGTGCAGAGAATGTGAGACTAAACATCCTCCGCCTGAGAGGGCTGCTGGGAGGTGGTAGCTCAGGGCCAGGAGGAGAAGGGCGCATTCCAAGAAGAGGCTGAAGATCTCGGGGAGAGATGAGTGCTGCCTGTGGTGCAGGAGCTCCAGGGTGCGTCATGTGAGAGCAGAGGGAGGGCAGATCGCAGGGGAGGGCAGGCAGGCATATCAGGGCTCAGCAGAGGCAGGCGAGGAAGCCATGGTGTGGTGGGAGGGAGGCCAGCTAGGAGCGCTGCGTGCTGTGGCACGTGTGTGGAAGGGCCATCACTCAGCATCTTGCTTCCGTGCCATTGTGTCACCAGCCCTGTTTGTCTCTCAGCGTTGATGTACCTCATGGGAAGGGGATCCAGGAAGTCAGTACCCTTCCCTTAGATCCAGTGCTGGGGTCAGGGGAAACCAGTGCAGAGAACTGCCTTGGTTAGAGAGGTGGGGCTGGAGGTCTTGCCTCCATCTCTAAGGAGATCCAGGGATGCAGCCTGAACACCTGACGTCACCTTCCTGTTGGCTCAGGTTGGCCCTGGGCTAGTCCAGCTTGCCCTATGAGAAGTCTTCAGACCCCAGTCTGAGGGTAGAGACACCATCTTGGCTCTCAGGGGGGCCCCTCTGAGGGAGGATATTCAGAGGGAAAGAAGGAGAGGTGAAGCCAGCCACTTGGGAGCCAAGGACGGCTCTAAGAAAGACGCGGGCCTGCCCACTATTGTTCTTCAACACAATCACTACAGAAAGAAAGGAAGAGCCCAGCCCAGCCCAGCCTGTGTTTCTGTGTCTGAGGCAAGTTTTCCTTCTGGATCTCCCACCTAGGATTAACTCAATTATCCTTCTTAAACCGTGAAAGCTCGGAATGAGGGTCTGGGATCGTTAGACTCAAAGTCCCTGGATTATTTTCTGTGCCTCGTCTCCGACACTGACCTCAGATATGACCTAGCCACTGCCTCTCCCCCATCCCAGAAACCCAGCCCCTACCCCACTGGTGCTTTCTCTTCCCTCCCTCAGGACCATGGGCCTCAAAGATCTGAGTAGAAGCCCGAGGTTGGAACACTCCCAGGTGGCAGCGGAAGAGGGAGGAATCAGCAGTTTCTCCTGAGTCCTCCACTGCTCGGCTCTCAGTAACTCTGTGCCCCAAGTTTCCTGCCTCAGAGGCAGATGGGCCATCTGTGCGCTGTCCTTACCCTAAAGAGAGGGGCACAGCTAGTATCCCGGGGGCAGGGCCTGGGCTTTATACCTCTCCACGGCTCCAGCGCTCAGAAGTCCCGGTCTGATGAGGGAACATGGCCTCCACTCTATAGGAGCCCTGGGCTGACACAGAGTCTGGTCTAACCCACATACAAAACACTTTGGAACGTGCCCAGTGAGATGGAGTCTCAGGGTGTAGGGAGAAATGGAAATAACTTCTCAGGTTAGAGAGAACAGATCTGCCTCTGTGATGTGTCTGGTCACACTCCCAGCAAACGGTAGGTTGGTTACTAGGAGGACTTTTCTGGATTTGGATGGAGGTATATATACATGGTCAGAAAACAAATTCTGTCCTGGATACAAGAGATGGCATTTTCAGCCCACAGCAGTGGGTACCAAGAGAAGGTCCCAAGATGTATTACTTAGGATATAGCCTTGGCTGATGTAACAGAGACCCAGAATAAGAGTGGCTTAAACAAGAGAGATGTCTGTGTAACAGTCCAGGCATAAACAGTTTGGGCCCACAATGGTATCAGGGACTCAGACTTCTTCTAACTGACTTGTTACTCTGACGTCTCTGTGGTCTTGTTCTCACCCATAGGATCCAAAGTGGCTCACCATCACATAGGCTTCCAGACTGCACAAAGTGGGGGAAAGAGGGCCAAGAGCATGCTTCCCATCTGGAAGTTTCACACCTGGCTTTGCTCACATCCCATTTTCCAGAACTCTTAGCGGCCTGATCATCCTTAGCTGCAAGGGAACCGGGGAAATGTAGTTTTTATTCCAGGTAGCCATGTATCCCAGTAAGCACCTTTTGTTCTGTTAGAGAAAAGGGGAAATTGTTATTAGGGGAACAACTAGCAGTTCTTCCTCAAGAGACCCCAAGTACACAGCAAGGAGGTTATTGTATTGTATGTGTCTGTTCAGTACCTCATTCCCACAGGGTTGGGCAAGTGACTCAGTCTGGGAGAACCACAGCAATGCATCCCTCTGGCCACAGCAATTGGTCCAGAACTGAGCATGACTCAAGGCGAGCCAATCAGAGTTCTCCCTCAGGACTTTTCCCTAACCAAGTAGCAGATGGTATAATTTCCTTTCTGGTCATAAACCCTGAACTGACCATGGTCGTTTTCCCTGCCAAGGCAGGTTAAAGCCTGTCTGCAGAAGATAGGAAGACAGCAGCCTCTGAGAGATGCAGAGAGAAGGGAGTCCCAGCAGGGTGAGCTCCATTCATGCCCTGAATGAACCAGTTAGTCAATGCCCCCTTTTCACCAAGTTGATTCAAGCTGAGTTTTGGCCACTTGCAACCCAGAGTTCTGACTTACACAGTACTGAAAGTGATGTTTTCTCTGGGGTACTTGGGGGTGGGAGGGAGGGGACACAGATGAGACTGAAAACCTGGATGAAAATAAAGTGGGCTCCAGCCAAGGTGCATCTTTCTCCTGCACATTTGCCCTGAGGCATCTTAAAGATCTCACACAGCATCTCAGTTTCTTTGCATTTTTCCAGTCAGTCCTGTTTCCTGCAAGGCAGCTCTCCTCACAGGCCTGTTGTAGCCGGCCCAGCTGTGAGGAGGGGGCCTGCGGAGGAGCCACCCTCACAAAGGGCTCATTCTCAGCTTTTCTGGGGCTGTTATCAGCCAAACCTAAACTCTGAATCACCTGCATCCGTGGGCAGCCCTGTAGGTGGCTTGATTCCCCCCTGGGCTTCCCTGTGTCAGGACCTGTGAGGGGAGGCGGACTTTCAATAAAGGTTCATGGGCTTCTGCCCCCTCACGCTATCAAGGTTCTGTCCAAGACCTTCCTGAGCCCCATCTTCCTCGTCTCTTCACTCACCACCCGTCCTGGGCCCCCATCCCTCTGGGCACCATCCATCCCCATGCCACCTAGTATACCAGCATAAAGCCCTCAGGGGAGATGGGATGAGAGCTGGAGAAGGAAGGGAATGTGCATGAGCGTTCTCTCTCCAACTCAGTCAGAAGGAGGATGGAATCTGAGAATGTCCTGTGCTTCCAAACCTGTGACTCCCCCGGTCCCCTGGGACCTCCCGAGTCCCCTCTACCTGCCATGACTGCAACCAAGCTGTCCTGGGCCTGTGGTGTCACCTGGTGGCCAGCCTCGGAACAGTCC